TGGGGGGGGGGGGGGGGGGGGGGAGGAAAAAAAAAAAAAAAAAAAGAAAAAGAGAAAAAAAAAAAAAAAAAAAAAAAAAAAAAAAGAGAAGAGAAAGGGGGGGGGGGGGGGGGGGGGGGGAAAAAAAACTAGCTCTACCCAAGTTACAAACCCAATAATGGTAAAACACACTATTTTTCTCATTTTTTTCCCTTTATTGTCCCAATCCGAATTAAGAATTTTGTGAGAAAAGTGGGTAATTGAGGAAGTCCACACAAGGACAGCGAATCAGAATCTAAGATATAAAAAAAGCACAAGTTAATGTTCTAAAAATCAATCCATAGAGAGCTCCGCCGCAGCCCATGGCGCACCGGGCCTCGGCCCTCATCCTCAGGGCCGCGCCGCTCGCCGTCCGGGGTGCGCGGCCTTGCCTGGGCGGGGGCTTCTCCCCTCGGCCCCGAGCCCGGACGCGCGGCGCAGCGGGGCCGGGTCTTCCCGGGTCGCCGCTCTCTTGTCTGCGGGCGGCGGTGCCGGGAGGAGGATGGCCCGGGCTCGCTCTCACCCGAGCCGCTGCTGTGCGCGCAGGTGTTGGGGAGAGGCGGCGGGAAAGGAGGGTGAGCAAAGCCCAGCACAAGTTCTCAACTAACGGGGGCGCAATCCCGTTTTTGTTCCAGGCGCTCGCTGCGAGGGAGCGGGTGGCGGGAGGGGGTTCTGCACCGAGAGGAGCGCGCGGGAAGCGCTGCGGGGCCTCAGGGGCGGGTGCGGGCGGTGCGAGGGCTTTTGTGCTCCTTCCCCGCTGCCGCCGGCCCCGCAGAGCTCGGAGGCTGCGGGCAGAGCCCCGCTCCTCGGAGGCAGAGCAGGGCCCGGGGGCGCGCTGTTGGGGGGCAGTGGCGGGGCTAGTGATGTGTCTCCGGCCGGGCCCCCTGGTTTTCTCCAAACGCGACAGCGCCCAGACCCCTGCCCTGGGGCCCGGTTGTACTTCCGAGAAGGATTTTAGCACCTTAATACCTCTCAGTGTCGATTATTTATGAATTAAAAAGATCAAAACCCTAGAAAAACACTATTGGCAACGGCCCGAGGATTATTCCTGATTAAGAATGTTCCTTGTCTTTGTTCCAGAAGAAATTCGCTTCGTGAGAGTGAGTCTTCCCAGAGACGGACTATTTGGTTTTCTGTGTGCTTCACTTTTTGTCGTTTTGGACTGAATATTTTTTTACTTATAAGAAACCAAAACTCACCATATTAACTTACATGCTAAAGGAATGTACAATTCTGCACTGTTTTTGTTAAAGAATTGTATGAAAAAAAAGTCTGCAGGAATATATAGCAAATAGTTAACTGGATTCCTGCGGGTGTTAGGATTATAGGAATTTTTCATTTTTATTGTTATCAAGTGCTGTAACGTTTGAACTTTTTACAGTAAGCATTAATTGTACATGCAGAAAAAAATATAAGTACATCAAATTAACTGATTCAACTTGTAAAAAAACATGGTAAAGCATTCAGTCTTTAAAATTCTTTAAAAATTATAGTTGACACAATATATTAGGTTCAGGTGTACAACATAGTGATTCGATATTTACCTATGGTGTGATCACTACAAGTCTAATAATAACTTTGTCACCCTATGAAGTTATTGTGTTATTATTCCCTGTGCTGTACCTTGAATCCCCATGACTTATAACTGAAAGGTAGTACCTTTTATTCCCCTTCACTTATTAAAAAATATATTTTTACTGATTTCAGAGAGGAAGGGAGAGGGAGAGAGAGATAGAAACACCAATAATGAGGGAGAATCATTGATTGGCTGCCTCCTGCATGCTGGCAACCTGGGCATGTGCCCTGATGGGGAATTGAACCATGACCTCCTGGTTCATAGGTTGGTGCTCAACCACTGGGCCATGCTGGCCGGGCCCTCTTCACCCTTTTAAAAAATGATTATTTTTAATAATTCTTTATTGTTGAACATATTATATATATCTCCCCCCCCCATTGGTCCCCTTCAGCCTGCCCCATTATCTGTGTCTATGGGCCATGCATATATGCATACAAGAACCTTGGTTGATACCCTCTCACCCTCCCCCTTCACCTTTTTTAGCCATTCCCTAATAACCAAATAAATGCAGATTAAAACTGCAAGCTGTTTTTTCCTGTAATTATTGCTTGAGAAGGTACAGTGAAATGTTTTCCCATTCATTACTGATAAGACTGTTCAGTTCTTTTAGAAAGCAATTTGATGATATTTATCAAATCCTAGTCATGTTCAATTAAGGGCCTGGCTAAATATAATAAGTTTTAAAAGGATTAAAATTGTATGTAATGTGTATGTATGGCTTTGTAAAAAGTCATGTGTATGAAAATACTGGAAGAGAATATAGCAAAATGATAAGAGCTGTTGTTACTTTTTCAGAAGGCTTTTTTCTGAACCCTCAGACTCAGTTGGGTCCCATTGTCTTTCCTTTCCACAGCAGCCTGTACCACCTTTATCACAATCATTTCAATCCCCAACCTTTTTTTTTTATTTGGGTAATTTGTTTGATGACCACTTAAGGTCAGTAAAGCCAGGAACCATATCTGCTGTATCTTGTTTATTGCTTCTTTCCACTGCAGTGCACTTGGTTGGTAAAAATTTTTAGTAAATATTTGACATAAATAAAAATGTTTGAGTGGTGGGATTAGAATTCCTACCCCTAACCCCACCTGACCTTGTCCCAAAATTTTTGGAATGCTTTATTTTTTTAAATAAAATATTTTTATTGATTTCAGAGAGGAAGGAAGAGGGAGAGAGAGAGAAACATCCATGATGAGAGAGAATCATGGATTGGCTGCCTCCTGCAAGACCCCCACTGGAGATCGAGCCCACAAGGGCATATGCCCTTTGACCGGGAATCGAACCTGGGCTGTTTCAGTTCGAAGGGCGACGCTCTATCCACTGAGCCAAACGGGCTAGGGCTGGAATGCTTTCTTTTGCATTTTTTATTTTTATTTATTTCAGAGAAGAAGGGAGAGGGAGAGAGGGATAGAAACCTCAGTGATGAGAGAGAATCATTGGTCAGTTGCCTCCTGCACGTCCCACATTGGGATCGAACCCGCAACCTGGGCATGTGCCCTGACTGGGAACCGAACCCGGAATCGAACCTTAACGTCATGGTTCATAGGCTAACGCTCAACCACTGAGCTACGCCGGTCGGGCTCTTCTAGGGTTTTTATGGTTTCCTGACTTACATTTAAGTATTTTATCCATTTTGAGTTTATTCTTGTGCATGGTGTAAGTTGGTGGTCTAGTTTCGTTTTTTTGTTTTTTGTTTTTTGCATATATCTGTCCCAGTTTTCCCAACACCATTTATTGAAGAGACTCTCTTGACTCCGTTGTATGCTCTTGGCTCCTTTGTCAAATATTAATTGATTGTAATGGCTTGGGTCCATTTCTGGGGTCTGTGTTCTGTTCCATTGGTCTACTAGTATATGCCTGTTCTTGTGCCAGTACCAGTTAGTTTTGATTACGGTGGCTTTGAAGTATAACTTGGTATCTGGTATTGTGATTCCTCCAACTTTGTTTTTCTTTCTCAAGATTGCTGCAGCTACTCAGGGTCTTTTTTGATTTCAAATAAATTTTTAAAGTATTTGTTCTAGGTCTGTGAAATATGCTGTTGCTATTTTAATAGACGTTGCATTGAATCTATAGATTGCTTTGGGTAGTATGGACATTTTAATGCTATTGATTCTACCAATCCATGAACACGGTATATTCTTCTACTTGTTTATAATTCTTTTTTCAATGTCCTGTAGTTTTCCGAATACAGGTCTTTTGCCTCCTTGGTTAAGTTTATTCCTAAGTATTTTAAGTTTTTTATTGTAATGGTAAATGGGATTGCTTGTTTAGTTTCCCTTTCTGAGTATTCATTATTGGTGTATAAAAAAAGCCATAGATATTTGGGTATTGATTTTGTATCCTGCTACATTGCCAAATTCACTTACTAAACCTAGGAGATTTTTTGTGGAGTCTTTAGGATTTTCTATGTACAATATCATGTCATCTGCGAATAATGAGAGTTTTACTTCCTCCTTTCCAATTTGGATGCTTTTTATTTCTTCTTCTTGTCTGATTGCTGTGGCTGGGACTTCCAGTACTATGTTGAATAAGAGTGGTGAAAGTGGACATCCTTGTCTTGTTCCTATTCTTAGGAGAAATAGTGTTAGTTTTTGCCCACGGAGTAGGATGTTGGGTGTAGTTTTGTCATATATGGCCTTTATCATGTTGAGATATGCTCCCTCTATTCCCACTTTGCTGAGAGTTTTTATAAAAATGCTTTTTCTGCATCTGTTGAAATGATCATGTGATTTTTGTCTTTCAGTTTGTTTATGTGATGTATCACGTTATTGATTTGCGAATATTGTGCCAGCCTTGCATCCCTGGAATGAATCCTACTTGGTCATGGTGTATGATCTTTTCAATATATTTCTGGATCTGATTTGCTAATATTTCGTTGAGGATTTTAGCATCTATGTTCATCAGGTATATTGGTCTGTAATTCTCTCTCTTTGTAGTGTCTTTATCTGGTTTTGGAATGAGGATAATGCTGGCTTCATAAAAAGAGCTTGCAAGTGTTCCTCTTAGATTTTTTAGAATTGTTTGAGGAGGATATTGTGTTAGTTGTTCTTTGAATGTTTGGTAAAACTCCCTCATGAAGTTGTTGAGACCCGGGCTTTTATTTACCAGGAGTTTTTTGATTACTGCTTCAGTTTCATCAGTGGTTATTGGCCTATTCAGGTTTTCTGATTCTTCCTGATTCAGTTTTGGGAGATTGTATTTTTCTAGGAATTTATCCATTTCATCCACAGTGTCCAACTTGTTAGCACATAGTTGTTCATAGTATTTCCTTAAAATCCTTTGTATTTCTGTGGTGTCAGTGGTTACTTTCCACTTTCATTTCTGATTTTATTTATTTTGATCCTCTCTCTTTGTTTCTTGATGAATCTGGCTAATGGTTCATCAATTTTGTTTATCTTTTCAAAGAACCAGCTCTTGGTTTCATTGCTTTTTGTATTTTTTTTGTCTCTATGTCATTTATTTCTGTTCTCATCTTTATTATTTCCTTTCTTCTACTTTGGGCTTTTCTTGTTGTTCTTTTTCTGATTCTTTAAGTTGTAGTGTTAAACAGTTTATTGATAATTTTTCTTGTATTTTGAGGTAGGCCTGTAATGCTATGAGCTTCCCTCTCAGGACTGCTTTTGCTGTATCCCAGAGATTTTGGGTTGTTGTGTGTTCATTTTTGTTTCTTCCCAGGAAATTTTTTATTTCTTTCTTGATCTCAGTGGTAACCCATCATTGTTTAATAACATGCTACTTAGCCTCCATGTGTTTGAATGTTTTGGGAGTTTTTACTGTAGTTGTTTTCTAATTTCATTCCACTGGGATCTGTAAAGATGCTTGATATAATTTCAATCTTCTTGAACTTATAGAGATTTGTTTTGTGTCCTAACATGTGGTCTATCTTTGAGAATGATCCATGTGCCCTTGAGAAGAATGTATATTCTGCAGTTTGGGGGTGAAATGTTCTGTAAATGTCAATTAAATCCATCTGATCCAGTGTATCCTTTAGAGTCACTGTTTCCTTGTTAAGTTTTTGCCTGGAAGATCTATCCAGTGAAGTCACAAGGGTGTTAAAGTCCCCTACTATGACTGTGTTGTTGATCTCTCCCTTCAAGTCCTCTAGAAGTTTTTGTTACATATTTAGGTGCTCCTATATTGAGTGCATATATGTTTACCAGGGTTATATCCTGCTGTTGAATCCATCCCTTTAGTATTATGTAGTGATCTTTGTTGTCTCTTGTGATGGCCTTCATTTTGAAGTCTATTTTGTCAGATATGAGTATTGCTACTCCAGCTTTTTTTCTTTTCCATTTTTTCCCAGTCCTTCACTCTTATCCTGTGTGTGTCTTTTGTTCTGAGGTGGGTCTCTTGGAGACAGCATATAGTTGGGTCATGTTTGTGTAACCATTGAGCTACCTAAATCTTCGATGGGAGCATTGAATCCATTTACATTTAAGGTTATTATTGATAGGTACTTATTTATTGCCATTTTAATTCTGTATGCCCAGGTTTCTCTCTCTATTTCTTCTTCTCATTACAGCAGTCCCGTTAGCATTTCTTGTAATGCTGGCTTGGTGGTGATGTACTCCTTTAGTCTTTTTTTTTGTCCAGGAAGCTGTTTATTTCACCGTCTATTTTGAATGTGCACTTGAATTACTATAGCCTTGCTGGATATAGTAATCTTGGTCTCAGATCCTTGCTTTCCATTACTTTGAGTACGTCATGCCATTCCCTTCTAGCCTGTAGAGTTTCTGATAAGAAATCAGGTGTCAGCCTTATGGGAGCTCTTTTGTAGGGTAACAGTTTGCTTTTCTCTTGCTGCCTTTAAGAGTTTTCTCTTTGTCTTTAATTTTGGCATTTTAATTATGATGTGTCTGGGCTTGGGCCTGCTTGGGGTTCTCTGTGCCTCCTGGACTTGTGTGACTTTTTCTTTTACCAGGTATTGGAAGTTTTCAGCCATTATTTCTTCAAACACGTTCTCTATCTCTTTCTCCCTTTCTGCCTCTTCTGGCACACCTGCTATTCTAATATTGTTTCGTTTCACGCTGTCCCACAGCTCCCTTAAGCTGTCCTCCTGTTTTTTAATTGCTTTTTTCTTTATGGTTGTCTGATTGAGTGATTTTTTTCAACCCTGTCATCTAATTCACTGATTCAATCCTCAGCTTCACCTAATCTGCTGTGTATTCCTTCCAATGTGTTCTTTATTTGTGCTATGTCATTCTTTATTTCTGTTTTCGTAGTTACTTTATATTTTCTCATGCTGTTGATCATCTTTACCATCATTATTCTGAACTCTATATCAGATAAATTTCTTATCTCTGCCTCATTTATTTCTTCTTCTGGATAATTCTCTTGTTCTTTTATTTGTGGGTTGTTTTTTTGTCTCCTCATTTTGGCTGCCTGTTTGGGTTTGTGACTCTGTATTGGGTAGCTCTGCTACGCCTCAGAAATTCTGATCTTTCTGATTTTCTGTTTTATGTAGTGAATACCAGGGCCTGGTGAAACACACAGGAGGCTGCCACTGTGGAGCAGTTCGCTTTGAAGTTTGGGCCTCAGCAGACTTGCACATCTTCGACTGCAAGTGAGTGTTTTCTCTTCCCAAGTTGGTTTAAGAGGACTTCCGAGTTAAAAAACAGCGCTTCAGCTTCTCCCGGGGAATTGGGGCATAGATGAAACAACATACAGTTGATAATTGTTGGAGTCAGGAGATATGTATATAAGGGTTCATTTTTCTATTCTTTTTCCTGTTGTGTGTACTAGAAGTTTTTTATAAATTTAAAACTGTTTTTAACCCTCACCGAGGACATGTTAATTGATTTTTAGAGAGAGAGAAACATAGATCGGCTGCCTCCCATAGGAGCCCTGACCAGGGATTGAACCTGCAACACAGGTATGTGCCTTGACTGGGAATTAAACCCATGACCTTTTAGTGTACAGGACAATGCTCCAGCCAACTAAGCCACACTGGCCGGAGCTAGAAGTTTCGTTGTTTTTTTTTTTGTTGTTGTTGTTGTTAATTAATCCTCACTTGAGGAAATTTTTCCATTGATTTTTAGAGAGAGTGGAAGGGGGGGGGGGAGAGACAGAAAACATCGATGTAAGAGAGGCACATTGGTTGGTTGCCTCCCTTACACACCCTGATCAGGGCCAGGGATCGAGCCTGCAACTTAGGTATGTTCCCTTGACTGGAATCAAACCCAGGACCCTTTAGTCTGCAGGCCAACGTTCTATCCGCTGAGCCAAACCATCTAGGGCTAGAAGTTTTTAATAATAATTTTTTAAAAAAAAGATGAAGGCTAAAAATAACTGAGTCTGCTCTGTATGTGAGTGTGTGTGCATGAGTGAGAGAGAGAGAGAAAGAGAGAGAGAGAGAGAGAGAAAGAGAGAGAGCGCACTTGGTGACACAGAGCAGGGTCCTCTGGCTTGTGCCCGGCAGAGTCACCCCCCAGACTGGTGGGTGGGGAGTGGTAGCTGGAAGCGGGTCAGTCTGGGCACTGAATGAATGCCTTGGGCAGAGTCTTCAGAGTTGGGGGAGTTGGAGGGGAAGGGAGAGGAGGGTGTGCACACTGTGCTGGGCCCTCTCGCTGGGTTCTTCCAGGTGGAGGGCGTGCTTTTTAGCGCAGTCCCTGGCCTTGTGACAGAACAAGGACAGGCTCGGTGTTTGGGACCTTTTGTCCTTAGGTGGTCCCTGAGTTATATGAGAAAAAATACCATGGAACTGACCAGGCTGCTAACAGTGGAGTCCAGATTGAAGAAGCACCATGGCTTCTATACCAGAGTATTAGAGGCTCTTCTTATCGAGGATTCTGTACTAAATTATAATTTTTTAAAAATATACTTTATTGATTTTTTACAGAGAGGAAGGGAGAAGGATAGAGAGTTAGAAACATCAATCAGCTGCCTCCTGCACACCCCCCACTGGGGATGTGCCCGCAACCAAGGTACATGCCCTTGACCGGAATCGAACCTGGGACCCTTCAGTCCGCAGGCCGACGCTCTATCCACTGAGCCAAACTGGTTAGGGCTAAATTAGAATTTTTTAAAAAGGTGGACTGAAAAGAGAGGGCTTAGATTTAGTTCCACAGATGGTCATCCGAGGGCCTGTTTTACTTGGAGGTGGGCTTACTGTGATGTGCAAATGAGCCAAGAGGGACATATAATCTTTCTTGTCCATTTTGGTGTGGCTCTCCCAGAGGTAGAAGATTGTAGCTATGCCTGGGATCAGTGTGTCTAGAACCAACAGCTCCCTGCCCTGTAATGAAGTGGGGGTGGTAATAGACACGTGGTTCTCTTAGTGAGGGTCTTCAACGGGATGCGTGGTCCCCGCTGCTGAGGGTGGGGCCTGCGGGCAGAGACCCAGGCGGCCAGTTTCGCTGCTGGCGTGTCCCCTTCCCGGGAGAGTGCTGGCAGAGGCCTTACTCCTGGGGTCAGCCAGCTCTCAGATCATATCAGGTTGGGCCCCTTGGCACTCAGAGGGTGGGGAGGGCTGTTCACAATCTGGGACTTGCTCTTTCTTTCTGTAGCTGCAGTGTTTGCAAGAAGAAGCAGAACAGACACTTCATTGTTCCTGCTTCTCGCTTCAAGCTCCTGAAGGTTAGTGCTAAGAGCAGGGCTGAGGATGCAGAGCCCATTGGTGAGTCCCCCGCTGACTGGCAGCACCCCGTAGCGTTCGAGGGGACAGGAGCGCAGCACGGCGCCTCTGGGCGGTCCCTTCCCTGGTCACCCAGGCTTCATGTGTATTTGTAAAGGTTTTGTTATGTTTTCCTTTATATTTTGGATGATTATGTGACATTACTGAGGAAACATTTTCAAATAAATAAGATCATCCAAATCCTATCAACTAAAGGTAATCACTGTGAATATGTTGGTGTATATCCTTGTGCACGATTTTGTACACAGATAAATACATCTAAATATGTATTTTGTCTTGTATCAAAGTAGGATTTTACCTTCCTTTCTGTTTTATAACCGACTTTAGCATTTCCCAGTGAAAAATATATAAGATTTTTAAACTTTATTACTGTGGGGAGTTTTTTGTTCTAGGGGCAGCATCTGAAAGGAGGGACATGCATGTACACAGCGCAGTCCTCCCCCCTGCCCCTCTCATCCTCCGGCTCCAGTCTCTGGGCTCTTGTCCTGTTCTGCGTTTGCAGCCCAGGGAGAGACTAGTGAACAAGCGCATGGGTCCCTGCCTCCCTGGGCAGTGAGGGACTTACTACCAGTCCTTCGGGCTGAGTTGTCTCCTATTGTTTGTCAGCCCTCGGTCCTCATGCGAGTGGTGGGGGCGGTGGGACAGGGGGCAGCAGACCTGTCTCTCGTCGTTCCCGGAGGTCCCGAGGACTGCCCGTCCCCTCCGAGGCCCGTGGCTGCGGCTCAGGTCGCCTTTGCTCCTGGCACCCAGGGCGGATGGTGTTTGAAGACACCAGCGGGTGCAGCCGGGGCTCTGGGTCTTGGACTCACACTTCTTCTTCTGGGGCCTGCCTATCAAGGCGTTCTTCTCGTGCTCCTGAGCGCCATCCTCTTCTTTGGCTCCAGTCTGTTGAAGGAGCAAGTTTCTGCTTATTTTTTTGTATTTATTCTTTTTAATTAAAAAAAATTTTATTGATTGGTTTTGAGAGAGAGAGAGACATCGATTTGTTGTTCCACTTATCTGTGCACTCACGGGTTGATTCTCGCAGGTGCCCTGACCCAGCAGGTGGCCCTGACCCCAGGGGTCCGAGCCTACATCCCAGGTGCACCCGGACAACCTCTGACCAACCGAGCCACCAGCCAGGGCTTATTCATTCATTTTAAATTGACACATAACATTATATTAGGTTCAGATACGCAGTGTAGTGATTCATTATATGTACATATTGTGTGTTTTTTAAAAAGTAAGTACAACACTTATTCATTCAACAAGTATTTATGGGACACCTGCTGCGCGCAGGCACTGCTCCACTGAAGCCCAGCCGTTGGCAGGACAGACAGGTCCGGCTCGGAGTTGACAGTCTATAGAGGGGATACAGAAGGACTAAGTCAGAAGAAGTCCGATCGTGCGTGTAAAGAGGGGAAGTAGAGCAACACGAAGATGACCGCTGGGGGCTGGGGTAGATTGGTTAGGAAAGGTCCCTCCGGTGCTCAGCTCTCAGTGGTGAAGGTGGGGTGCGTGGGTGGAGGAGCACCCCAGCAAAGAGAGAATATAGTGCAGGGGGCTTCCGAGCACAGCTGTGGCATGCCTGAGGAGCTGAACCAGCCGTTGTGACCGCAGAGGGTCAGTGAGGTGGAGGCGAAAGGGTAGACTAGGGCGGGCGGGGTTGGCGAGAGCAACAGCAGAAGGGGTAGCTTTTACTCTCTGTGTAGTGTGAAGTTCGCGGAGGGGCGTAAGCAGGGCAGTGACAAGACCTGCTTCAGTGTTTTAAAAGCTCACTTTGGCTGTTGTGTGGAGAATGGCTTGTAAGGAGGCAGGTGCAGACGGGGGTAGCTAAGAGGTTGTCGAGGCGGGTCAGGTGAGAGATGATGGGAGCATGGATTCAGACGGTAGTCATGGAGATGGAAAGAAAATAGATAACTGGAGATGTGCTTTTCTTCTTCATTGATTCTAGAGAGAGGAGTGGGGAGAGAGAGAAACATGGATGTGAGAGAGAAACCTCGATTGGTTGCCTCCTTCTGTGCGTCCCTTAACTGGGAATTGAACCCACAACCTGGATATGTGCCCTGACTGGGAATTGAACCCACAACCCTTTGGTGCACGGGATGATGCTCTAACCACTGGCCAGGGCTGGAGATATGTTTTGAATAGGTAATTGAACAGGTGTCTTAGAGCAGTGGTTCTCGCACCTCAGTGTGTGCGGTCACTTACAGGGCATGTTAAACAGGTGGCCGAGCCCCACTCCTGATCCATGGGTCGTGGGATGGGAGTGAGAGTTTACATTTCTATGTGTTCATGTGATGCTCGTGGTGAGGACCACGCTCTGAGAGCCGCTGTTGTAGAGAAGGGTGCACAGAACTCTGTAAAGGATCAGGCGTGAAGAGGAGGAAGAGAGAGCAAAGTTACATCCACAGTGTTGGGCCTAACCAACGAGGCGAACAGAGATGCCAGATCCTGGGCGAGAAGCCGGTGAGATGCTGGAAGCAAGAGTTCTTTTTTGAAAAAGTTCGATTGAAGTTATCTTTTGGACATTCATGCAGAGGTAGGAAGTGGGCAGCTGGAGGTGAGTGGGGTTGTGGAGAGAGAGCAGAGCTGCAGCTGCCGATTTGACAGTGGTTGGCTTATTGCCGGTGCTTAGAGTTATGAGACCGGGTGAGGCCAGCTGGGTAGAGGGTGTAGTCAAAGAAGGGAGAGGGCCGGGGACAGCTCCTGGGCTCGCCAGCATTTATCGAACCCGAGAAGGATGGCCAGGCGGGAGGGGAGAAACGGGAGTGGGTGTCCTCAGAGACACAAACTTTAAATGGAAGGCGTGGTCTGAGAGGTCAGTAGAAGAGCAAGTTAAAAATCCAGTGGTCAAGAGAAGTGCCCATTAGATTAGTCAAGATGCTGCCCTTGGTGATTGTGATTGGGCCTGAGACAGAAGTGATGACAGGCTGTGCGCTCAGTGGGAGGAGGGCTGTGGTCAGGCTGGTGGGCGCACAGGATCGCGAGGGAGTGAGGATCGGAGGTCACCGGTGACTCTGGTAATGGCCCGGTGAGGGGGGT